TTATCAACCCTCAAGAATAATGAATGGTATGGTTTCTATTGACCAGATGCGTAATGGTACGGTGCATAGGGGGCGGGTGGAGGGTACATAGGGGACGCTTCTACGGTACATAGGGGACGCTTCTACGGTACATAGGGGACGCTTCTACGGTACATAGGGGACGCTTCTGCGGTACATAGGGGACGCTTATACGGTACATGGGGGACGCTTATACGGTACATGGGGGACGCTTCTACGGTACATTGGGGGACGCTTCTACAGCACATAGGTGACGGTTCTACGGTACATACGGGGACACTTCAAGGGCACATAGCAAACACTTGGGACTCCGACGTAGGTTCGCGGGTACGTGTGGGGCAGGCCAGGAAACTTGGCGAGACAGGTGGCTGGCTTCTGCCGCAACTTCTGGCACAAGTTCGAGACATCATGATGATGTCGTCATCATCGAAGGCGATCGGTAGACCCCATTGACTTGCGATCGGCATGATTAGCAGCAGTTGCGAGAGACTATAGAGAAACCTAGCTAAAGGGCTTCGGTACCAGAGAGAAACCTAGCTAAAGGGCTTCGGTACTGACATGGCATTTTGACATGATGTTTTAATCCAGTGCAACATAATTCATGGCTGCCGTCAGCGCCATTGCAGATAGGCTGTGTCGAAACACACAGCTGCTGGCTCGGCAAGTGACAGCATCTGTGCATCGACGGCAAGCTCCTCGTCATGCTCGCCACAGTGTCTGCGCACTTGCTAGGGCAGGCCTGGTGATCTTGCTCAGTCGGGATAAAGACATGATCTGAACCATGATAGGTCGGAAGCGACAGCTGCTGTCCAGACAAACCAATGCGTTCTTGCAGAGGTTCAGGACAGCTGTATTGCAATATAATCTCGTCGGTCTGATCATGCGCGGTGATCTTCGGAATGTCAGGAAAAAGGTGACCAAGTACAATCAGGAACATGCTGTCCGGCGAGCGGATGTCATTCAAATCGATGGGGCAGGGCCGGGGCATCGCAAGCGAGGTCGTGATGGATTGATCAAGGGTAAAGGCGGGCTGGTTTGCAGGGCCGGGTGATTCAAATAATTCAAGGTCAACAATTACTTCCGACAGGCCAATACCGGACTTGGACAACCGCGACATTGCTGCGTGTCTCGTGGGGGCCTTATATCATGAAACGCAACCAGATGAAGCGTCAATTTCATTCTCTGTTCGGCTTGTGGTGCACTTCTAAAAGGTTGGGGCGATCTACCGCTAACATCATGAAGACGAACAGCCGCAATGGGCCTAGATTGCCGAAGCTCATGAGCAAGTCGCCGACTATGCAGCTCATGTTGCATCATGACGCGGTCAGGTCTTCCAATCATGGGTTGGGTTGTAGGTAGCTATTGGTTGTAAAACTGTGCTGAGTATTACATATAAATTATCTGATAGCATATATACTATTAGATTTATGGACCTATGGGTATATGGCGTTGCGTGAGTCTGCATTTGAGGTTCAGCCTAAACTCTTTGGCGTGGTGGATGGGTGCCGGCACCGATTCCATAACGAAGGCGAGACATGCGATTTGTGACTTTTACCTCCGCGAGCAGCGCAACAACTTCCAGGCTTTGTTGCAGGAGAAGTCATATAGGCATACAGGGAGGGATTTCAACCTGACTATCCATCTCCCCCCCCCCCCCTCTGGCTCTCTCTCTATCTCACGCCCCCTCTGAGTTTCTCGCTGTCTTTATATCTCTCTCCCTCTCTCTCTCTCTCTCTCTCTCTCTCTGCCCCTCCCTCTTTTACAACGTATTGCCCACAGTGTCTTCAAGTTAGCCGCAGGACAAGAAACCGATTGTTTCCCTCCACATCGAATTCGATGAAACTGGGCAGATCTTGCGCTTGAAAAATACATCCTGTGAAACCACTACAACCATGTCAGTTCTTGCCGCTTGCTTTGCATGAAGTTGCTTCACTAGCGTGTCAGTTAGTATTACTGACAGTTGTCAGCGGCTGTTGTTACATTTCCATAACTCCACAAGGTCTCGCGGTCCACGCTGTTGATCGCGAACCCCGAGAGTAAGAAGGTGAACTGCAAATTCGTTGCTCGACTGCTGTACATTGCAGCATCCGTAAGATTCCTCCTTGCTGCAATCGTCCAAACTCCAAACTTAGGTCATCAACTCGCCGGTGGTTCTTCGCAGGAAAACCTCAAGAGCCTTGTGGAAGGCAATCAACAGCAGCCAACCTGTACCGCCTCTCCGCAACCTGGCTCAGAGGTAAATGCAGCTGCGGCACTGTACCTCAACTCCTCAATTATGTCAGTGTCGACAGTGTCGATCTAAGAAATTGCCGACCAATGCAGCCTCTTGATCCTATGCTTCGTGTGCGACAGTGCAGCCTCGAATTTGGCTATGGTTCGCACGGTTGGAGATATGGCTGATCCGAATGTGCTGGTAACTCCGTTGCACGAACTAGTCTGTAGGGCCACTGTTGGGTCGAATCAGCCTTTGTTGCGGCGGGATCATGTGTTTATCAGGTGATGAAGCAACAGTGCATGATGCTGCCCGGCTGCAACCCCACTCCAGCTCCGACATACTCCGACATAATTAGAACGGACATCATATCATATATCCAATTTATCTAATCATATCTAAGCCAAGGCATCAGGCGAACCTGACGACGGAGCAGATGTGGAAGACGGCGGACGTGCTGCCCGGGTTGTTTCACGGACGGGAAGTTAGCCAGTTCGCCGGTTAGCAGTTAGAGTCAGCGCTGAGTTCTGATTTTCACTTTTTGACTCGTACTTGGTTCAGGTTCTGCTTCTCCTCGATTCTGACGCAAGGCAGCTTGTTCTATGAGCTCATTTGTCAGTGCAAACGTATCATCGACACAAAGCTCATCATCCGGTATGATCCGTTCTGACCCCAGACAAATCCACTGCTGTCGGTTGCCCTCATTCATGCTGGTTCTGAGGCCGTCGCCTCGACATCAGCAGTACGCGAGACAGTTTCTTGAAGAGGCCATCAAGCCAAGTTCGGAGCTCAGCTGGATCGATTGCATCGATTGTCAACGCTTGCAGAGGAGTCGGCTACAGGTCCCAGGTCAGACACAGATGGCGTCGAGGATGATCATCGACGCCGCCGGCACAACGCAGAGGTTCTGCTGACCATGGCAAATGGAGCACAGGCCTTGGAGCGTCACCTCTAATTGAGTAGAAGTAGAAGAAGTTTGAAGGCGCATAAGCGGTTCGTCGGCACAAATTTCAGGATTGGACGAAGCCAGAGATCATTCATCATTGCAAGCTTGGGTGCTGCTCCAACAGGGCAGAAAGCTGTGGGCACCTTACACGCCTGGTTGGGTCAAGATCGTCAGAGCAAAGCCATCACTCGCTGACCGAGGTGCCAAACTGTGGTTTGCGATTGTGGATGTCATTTTCGCACAGCGACCCCCAGTTCCGGTGCTCTCTCGCTGGTTAACTTGCGGGGCCACGGCCCGTTTCGTAATGACAGGCGCTCAGGAGTTATCATTTATCATGTCGGAGTCAGAGTCAGTGAAAGCGGAATGAATCGTTGAAGATCGGTCGAGCAATTCATTGTCTGAGTCTGACTCAGAGAGCATTAGACAGACGACTGCCGAGGTTGGCTGCTGGATTTCATCAGCTACTCCCGCGTGCGTGGGCTCTCCTCTTCGGAAAGGCAGAGTGGTCGCGGTTGTCGTTAGCTTGTAAAGGTGGACCGTGTGCGATGCAAGTTTGAGTTCCATGAGCTTTGTCTTTGGCCGCAAGACGAGATCTCAAGAGCCAGAGAGTGAGTGTGGCCCAAGTGCGAACAGAGCATGGCCGAAGAGGGTGCCGCTGTTGATGGGGAATCTGCTTCTCGCGTGGAGGCTGACGGTACCGGCGCCGATGTGGCGGAGGCTGGCTCTGGCGTGGAGGTTGACCGTACCGGTGCCGCTGTGGCGGAGGCTGGTCTTGCGGGAGGTGATGTCCCGACGGATGACGGCGCAGCTCCGGCCGGTAGTGCTGACACTGGCGATGGTGCGGCTGATCGCACAGAGGGCGCAGGCCTGCCGGGGGCCAGCACCAGTGATGGCCCAGCTCGCGGCAGTTTCTCTGCAGTGTTAATATTAACCGAGCTAGGCCAGGCCTAGTGTGGCATTCAAGTCACTCAAGTTCAAGTTCAAAATTCAAAACGGGGCAATCATACCAGGCTCAATGGCTGATCCACCGGGCCCGTACAAGACGCTGACGGAGCATGAGTTTCAGCAGTGGTTCGGAGCTGCTGAGCTGTTACTTCGCGGTTAGTCTTTAACTTCTGGCTTGTGTGTGTCTTCTTATCAGTACATGGCAGAAGCACAAGTGATCGATTGCATTCCGCTAGAGGATCGCTAGTTGTTAGCCTTCGAATATTTTACTTGTATCTTTTACCAAGGAGTATGTGGGGTGGATGGTGCACCAGATCAAGGATATTCGCCAGCTACTGAACACGATGGATGGCCGTCTGCGAAGGATGCCTTACCCTGTGGGTGATCCGGCAGGCCCGCCTGTGCCGACACCCGCACGGGTCGAGCGACGGCGCCGTAGAAGCAGCTCGTCGTCAGACGCTGAAAGCAGTGACGTGCTGATGGGTCGCAGGACGAGAACACGGCATCAGTCGGATCAGTCAGGTCAGTGAGAGACGTAAGTAGTGGGTTGGCAGCAGTAGAGGGAGTAGATCGCTAGTGGTGTACGAGTAGTTAGAGTCAGGGTTAGCTAGAACCTGTGTTCAGTAAGTGTTGAGTAATATTTTTCAGATTTAGGCCCCCCAGCCCTTAACTTGAAGTTAGGTGGCAGGATATATAAATTGTCA